GGCATCCCTCAGACAAGAAGTAGGAACTTGGTGAACAACTCAACATGGGAGGTCAGTAGAGAAAGATGATGAAAGGCAGACCTCAGGCCTTTGGCAATTAAAGGCCCAGATGTGAAAGGAAAAGAGGGAAAAGAAGTGAAGCTTCAGAGCACCAGCAGAAGAGCTGACCTCTGGCTGAAGGCTGGCAAATCAGGGTGAGTAGTGGGTGGTCTCCGCATCTTTTCCCCATGGATTTGTAGGCTTTTGGTTTTGTTTTCCCTTCTGGGCCTACCAAATTTCTTTCAACCAGGTTAAGTGATCTGTGAATACTCTGCGCTCTCTGTGGCTTGGTACTGGCTCAGCTGGTGGACCTGGGGCAGTGAAGCAGGCAGGAAGCATTTACTGGAGAAATGGAGGCCACAGGGGTGCCAAGGCTGTTTACCCTTCAAGGAATGTGTGCTCTATGTGTGTCTCCTATAGCACACATTCCTATTGTACATCCTAACACAGGGCTGGGCACATGGAAAGCATCCTCAAAATACTTATTGGACCAAGTCATGGACATATCTAACTGCCACATCCTACACTAGCCAAAAGGCCCTTCCTGGCCTGGGGAAGTACTGTCCTGGAACTCTCTTCCACCTCCTGGCTCTTACTTGGTCAGCGATGACTGTCCGGTGCTGGTACATTCCAGGATTAAGTTGCCAACGACAGAACTGGCCTCTCCAGCCACGTGTGATAGTGCCTCCCCCGATACCACCCAAGGGACAACCTAGAGAGAGAATCAGGATGGTTAGTGGGGCATGGGGAGAGGAAACAAACCCATTTCTCATTTTCTAGACTGTAAAGATGGGTTCCTCTAAAAACTGTGCGGATATCAAGCCAACACCTTGTACACCTTAAGCTTACACAATGTTATATCAATTATATCTCAATAAAGCTGGGAAAAAAAATAACCAGCTAGGCAATGGGGCAGTGCCACTTGTGTAAGCTGGAATCCTCTTTGCCTAGCTCTGTGGTAGATGTGAGTATGGCAGGGCTGGGGTGAGGCTCACCGTAGATCTGTCTCAGGGGTACACAATTCATGAAGTCGATGAAAGGTGTCTTCTTCTCTACCTGGGTCTTCTGGTACCACCACTGCAAGTACCTGAGGAAAGTGGTAGTGTGAGTGCAAGGGTGGCGGGTGGTGTCTCTGAGGCTGCAGTCACCTGCCTCTCTCTCAACACACAGCTGTGACTTCCCATTAAATGACCCGAGGACCCATCATCTGCACTTCCAAACCTCTCCTTCTCTTGACTTCTCTACAAGTTCAAGGTCCCTTCCTCTTCCCAGTCACCCCAGCTCGCAGTGTGGAAGTGTCTGCTTCTCCTCTCTGTTCACCTTAGGAGGAGCTTTCTGATCTTTCCTCACCTCTCTGACTCCCCTACCACTGCTTTAGGAGCTTCTGTCTGAGGTCTGAAAGGGCCAGCATGGTTTCCTGACCTACTATTCCCCCTCCAAGAGGTATGGGCTGCTAGGATAACTTTCTTCTTGTTAGAATGATTACTTTTCTTCCTGATTATGAAAGGTGAAAATCTGGAGACTACACCAGGTGGAGGGGAAAAAAATCCCACCCATAGACAACCAGTGTCTACATTTAGGGGCATTTCCTTTTAAGTCATTCATTTATTTATTTATTTTTATTTCAGCATTTAAACTGTAAGCTTTCTGATTTTGCTCTCTCATAATATCCCAGTAAAGCTTTCTAAAAATCCCAACATTTTCCTGGTCTTGTCACAACTCTGTATCCAATAGGCAAATGATTCAGTTTGGAATTCAAGGCTCTAACATCTGTCCCAGTCTATCTTCTAGTTTTACTTCCTACAAATTCCCACTCAGGGTGGGTCCTCACTGAGCAAGCCCTGCCCCACCAGACCCTCTCCCAATTCCTCTCTCCTCCCTACCCAGCCATTTTATACCCATTGTGCAAGCACGTCACTTGTAATCACAGAAGTGGGTAAGTGACCCCTCTGAGCCTCAGTTTCCCCATCTACAAAATGGGGATACTTCCTGCCCTAGCTACCTCGTGGAATGGCTGAAAGAGCAAATGACATCATAGGTAAGAAAGCCATAAAGTGGAATACATTATCTGTGTGAGGCGCAATCATTACTTGTACATATACTACCTCAACTCCTAATCAGATGCTGTCTTATTATTTCAGTGCTCCTCATGTGAGTCTGACATACTTTTAAGTTCCTTGGGAAAAGAGACTGTGACAAAGACTACCCGAATATTAGCCACAGCTTCAAGCACAGGGCAGGGCACATGGTCTGCAGTCAATACATATTTGCTGAATTTACAAACAATGGGGCATAAGAGACATGAACACTGACAGGAGCAATGGGAAGAGGAATGTGATTAAAGAACAGGGAGGGCATATTGGTGGAGGGGGAGGGAGACAAAGGATGAGATGATGGGAAGGCAGAAGACCCTTTCTGCCAGCTTAGAGGAAACTGGACTTTGAAACTAGAGGCCAGAAAGGATTGGTGAAGGGAGGGAGGGGCAGTGGGGTTAGGGCTGCGAGGGAGAAGTGCAAGATATGAAAATAGGTGGAACAATGAAGTTATCTGGCATAGAACAAGCTCTCAATATTTATTGAATGGATGGCCTCTGGCTGGAAGGGAATACAATCAAAATTGACTTCTTACTTCACTCTGGCCAAAAGAACTTTGTCTTGCCGGAGCTCCTCATCAGAGTGCTCCCGATTCAGCTCTCCCTTCGGGTCTACCTTTCTCTCCCTAATTTTGCAGCTGACCATTCCTGACCTATACGGCCTTCTCCATAATTTCAGCCTCAACTTAAGAATCATCAGTCAGAATTCTTTCTTGTCTCACCTCTACTTTCTCCTCAAAGCAGGAACTCATCCCATTTTGAAAGCCCTGTGTCAATGATCCCCACCCTATCCTGGTGTAGGGAGCCAAGGTGCAGGGGGGCTGAGCATAGGTTCAGACCTCTATGACTCAGCTCATACCTAGGGACTGATGGGCTAGGATGCCCACCTGTTCTTGACCTCAATGTCCCCACCACATGCACCCCAGTGTCCTTCTCTCAGTACCCTAGCTCTAGATCCTATTTTGACCCAAAGGCTTTTGGGGTCTGATTTGGGCTGTGTCAGTTTCAGAAGCCGCCTGGAGGGATGACTCTTCACTGGTACAGGCCACCCACAGGAACTAGCAAAGGAGCCAGATACCCAGGCAGTGTCCAGCTCTTCTCACTGCCTAGGGCTAGAGTGAGGGAAATGGCCTCCCCACACCAGCCCCACCGCACTGACCGGGGAAGGGAAGGAGCCCCTACTTTAGAGGTTGCAGGGGCTGGGCTTCCCATCCTTTATGCTTCCTTGCCGGGTCTGTGTTTACTGTATGGACTGACTCAGGATCATGCTTTCTGTCCTCACATCCACCTGTTCCTGTTAATAGGTCTTGGCTCCTCATCACTAGTCTTTGAACTGAGTGGGGATCTGGAGGGATCTAGAGGAGTTTTACATTCCAGGATAAGCTCTTGGGGTGTCTGCAAACTGTGGGGGTGGGGGCAGGGGATGGACCAGGGCAAGCTCTGGAAGACTATTACTAAGAACTCTGGGGACACCCATGGCAGTGCCTCTCTGGTCAGAGGTCTTCTTTGCTTTTGCTATCAGGGGCTTTCTACCCAGAATGGATGAACAGTACCTCTCATCGCCCTCTCCTTAGGGTTGAGAGGAGGCAGGCTCTCACCCAGTCCCTGGAGCTAAAGCTTGAAGAAAGAAACTGATGGATATTGGAACGCTAAGGTGGTGTGCCTAAATGAGGTACAGAGAATATCCTAGCTACTCAGGGGAGTCCCGGGTTGAGACTCTCCCCCTCCCAAATAAAACAACATTGTGTCAGTACCATAGCAGCCAGACTATCCTTTCCTACCTTGCCACAAAGTATAGCTAATCCCAAAGGGCAGTCTTTGGAAAAGAGGGAGTGTGTGAGAGGGAGCCTAAATGAGAAAGGCTGACTTCAGGCCCAGATGTTCCTGCTCTTTCCTGATTAAAAGACAAGTTAGTGGGAGGAAGGAGGTTGCAAAGAGATGTGACCTGGTCTCACCCTCCAAAACCATGGGCTTAGAATATGCTGGGGATTAGTGGCCACTTGACTGGGACAAGGCACCCACCTGCTTTCTCACCCTTTCTACCTCTGCTAGAAGTCTTGTGCTGGAACAAACTGAGGCCTAAGGTACTCTCTAGGCAATGGGATCTACTCACCTCATGCCCATGCCCAGATGCTTTATCAGGTTGCTTAGGGAGATGTTGTTGGCATGAAAGGGTTTCCTCTTCTCTGCAAACTCATGAGCCAGGCAGATGCGCCAGCCAAAGGGAGGCACCTGGTAGCCCTTAGCTTTACCCTCATAGGAAGCCATCAGCTGCCCAGAGTCCTCTGGATCGCAGTAGCCAGGCTCATTTTGGGGTCGACTGTCCTCAGGGCTCTCGCAGTCTGTAACCTGCATACCCTCAGTGCCTTCAGTATCTTGTGGATGCCCTTTGGCACAGCCGGTCTGCTCCGAGGCTAGGACTCCGGTTCCCATGTTCCCTGGATCCTGGGTCCCCACCAGCTCGATGGTCCCGGGCCTCGAGCCTGCTGGTACAAAGTATCTCGCCAGCCAAGTCCTGATGCGGGCAACGGTTGTTGTTAGGTGCCGTCCCGGAGGGCCGGGCGCTGGGGAAGTCTAAGGCGAGCTGGCGTCTCCGTGGAGCCGGGGAGCTGTGGCTGCAGCCGCGGTGTCGGCGACAGCAGTGAGGCCGCCTCGGGCTCCCCCTCGATCGTCTCTCTGGGTCCTGGGCGGGAAGGGTAGGGCCTCGTCGTCATTGGGCCGCGGTGAGCAGCTTGCCCGGCCAAAGGGCGACTGGGCCCGCGGAGAGGGGAGGAGCCCGGGGCCCGGCCGCCCGCCCCGCCCCCGGCCCCGCCCTGCCGCCCGCCCGCCGCGGCCCCAGGCGCTCCAGGGCTGGGCGCCGGGCCCCGCCGGCCGGTGTCCAGGGCAGCGCCAGCGCCCAGGGGCCGGCCCTCGGGAAGGTGACCCTCGGCGGCCGGACGACTCGAGCCCCTTCCGGTCCGGCCGGCCGGGCGCTTCCGGCCGGAAGGGGCCCCCATGGGGGAGGGGCTGAAGGGAAGTCCCGCCTCCGCCGCGCCGCCGAAGCCGCCGCCGCGCACCTGGCTGGTCCCTGAGGGGCGGGAGGTGAGTGCCTCCGGGTGCCGCGACCCCCGTTTCGATCGTCGAGGGCCTGGGCTAGGGATGTGAGGGGCCGGGCGGCGTGGCCTTGGGCTGGGACGTGGAATCTTGAGGGAGGGGGCGGAGGCGGCCTCGGGGTTCCGGGGTTCTGGCGGTAGGGGAGTAACCCGGCGCCGGCAGGGGGGGCCTGGGACCCAGAGCGATGCTCTCCCCCTAGGGACACTGAGGCAGCTCCACCCGCGCCTTCCATCCGCCGTCGTGCGCCCCAAATTCCGGCTCTTCCCTCTGGACCGTGGTGCTGACCGCCCGGCTCCTGGGTCCTCACCCCCAGGCTCGCCTCAGACACCCCTCCCTGCCATGGTACTGACCTTCGACCCTCTTGGTTTCCTTCTAGATCCGAGTCCAGAGCTGCCATGATTGAAGTGGTAGCAGAACTGAGCCGGGGTCCAGTGTTTCTGGCGGGGGAGGCTCTGGAGTGTGTGGTGACCGTTACCAATCCCCTGCCCCCCACAGCCACTTCCGCATCCAGGTGGGGATGCTGGTACTGAAGAAGGTGGTCCTTCTGGGAGGAAGCCTGGTGTTGATAGTCCTAACCCCAGCTCAGGTTGTCCTCTAGCTACACCCCCGCCTTCTTGCTCATTGTGCTCTCATTGTAGGAAAGGGCTATTTAACAGGTGTAGTTGACACCTGTGGTTGTCTCTTCTTTCCTCCCTCCTCCCCCTTTCCCCTTCTTACCTTCAGTATACTTTTCTTTAATGGTTTCTCTTTGGGGTCTGGATTCCCTGATTCCTAGGAGAGCCACCTCATCGTGTTGATCTTGTCAGACGGTGTGATAGGGAGTTTGGAAGAACGTTTGTGCTGTCAGGAGCTCCCCTCTGATGCCTCCTTTTCCTCCTTCCACAGTGAGGCTCTGGCCTGGGCCAGTGCCCAAATCCACTGCCAGTTCCATGCCAGTGAGAGTCGAGTAGCACTGCCTCCTCCTGACTCCAGTCAGCCAGATGTTCAGCCTGAGAGCCAGACTGTCTTTCTACCACACCGAGGTTAGAGATGGGGCATTTGCCTTTGGAGTGGGATGAAGTCATTGTCACCTAAGGGCAAAGTTGTTAAATTGTTCCGGTGGGTCATTTTATAGCCCCTGTCACATTTGGGATGTGGGGGAATGTAATTGTTGTTTTGGAGGTGTAAGACTTTCTATCTCACAAGAAGAAAAGAGGAATAGTTTAGTTTGGGCTGCCCTTTGTTGGCAGCGCTTACCGCCCCCACTTGTGTGCTAGCCTCGAGTACGGGACAAACAGGGTCATTAAATTCCAGTCTGTCTTATCTTTTTTAGGTGAGAGGGGTCAGTGTATCCTTTCCACTCCACCAAAAATCCTATTCTGTGACCTGAGGCTAGACCCTGGAGAGTCCAAATCATGTGAGTGACTGCCTTCCCACCCCTGGATTGCCTTCTAAGGCTCCTGGAGGGAGGACATCTCTGGCTACCCCCGGCTGCCCTGACTACTACTTCCCAACCAGACTCCTACAGTGAAGTGCTGCCCATAGAGGGACCACCCTCCTTTCGGGGTCAGTCAGTCAAGTATGTCTACAAATTGACCATTGGCTGCCAGCGTGTCAACTCACCCATCACTTTACTCAGGGTCCCTCTGAGGGTTCTTGTGCTGACCGGTAAGTAAGGGTTCCTGGAGGGAAGGACTGGGGAAGAGCCTCACCAAAGCAGAAATCATCATTAGAGGGCTTGTGAGAGGGGCTGGAAGGAAGCCTCCTGGTGTTAGGGAAGGTCTTAGGGAGTTGGGAGGGAGGGTTCTGGAGAAGAGATTGAGATGTGAACCTCAGGCGTGGCTCCCCTTTCTTTCAGCTCTCTCAGATTGGAGTCTATGACCCTAATCTACTCTCATCTCTGTTCCCTACGAGCACTGCCTTTCCACTCATTCTCTCTCTAGGCTTTCAAGATACCCGGTTTCCTCAGGATGAGGCTGTAGCTCCATCCAGTCCATTCTTGGAGGAGGATGAAGGTGGGAAGAAGGATTCATGGCTCGCTGAGCTGGCCGGGGAGCGCCTCATGGCTGCCACATCCTGCCGCAGCCTCCGTGAGAGTCCTTTCAGAATTATCCCCTCCTAACCCCCACCAAAGTATTCCTTAGACAGATTCTCCCAACAGCCACATACTTCTGAAGATTCACTGTGTCGTCTCCGATTATAAAGAGAAGTCTCACTTTTGGCCCCTCCCAGTCCTGGACATTTCCCAATGTGGACTCCAGGCTTACACAGTCTCCCATTCTCCCCAGATCTATACAATATCAGTGATGGCCGAGGAAAAATTGGGACATTTGGCATCTTCAAATCTGTATACAGACTCGGCGAGGACGTGGTGGGGACTTTAAACTTAGGGGAAGGAACTGTAGCTTGTTTGCAGGTGAGAAGGGAGAGGGGCTTTGGGGCTCTTAGGCCTGAAGGGCTAGGGTGGAAGGAGGGGAGGAGCCTGCATAAAGAGTGGTGGTACGTGGAAGTGGGTAGTGGGATCACACAGGGTCCCTTTGGGAATACAGCGTGAAGTTGGGCTGCCCTCTCACCTGGAGTCAGCACTTCTTTTCTTGCTCCCAGTTTTCGGTAAGCTTACAGACTGAGGAGCGTGTGCAGCCCGAGTATCAGCGGCGTCGCGGGGCAGGTGGTGCCCCCTCTGTGTCCCACGTGACTCATGCCCGGCACCAGGAGTCCTGCCTGCATACCACCCGAACCAGCTTCTCCCTCCCCATCCCTCTCAGCTCCACTCCAGGCTTCTGCACAGCCATTGGTGAGACCCCGACCATTATTGGAAGTGGGGGAGGGGGGTAGAGCGGGGACTGTGTGTGTAAAATGCTGTGCTTAGGTGGAGTGTAATGGATCCTGATTCCTAACACACTCCCAGACATACCCATGTCCAGCTTCCACCCCTTAACATGTTCTCAGACCTTCAACCTCTGCCCGTTTTCTAGATGCACGGACCCCTAAACTCTTAACAGCTTTGCAGATCTCCTTCCTTCCCCTACCTCCTAGGACCCTGTGATGCACCAATCTCTGATTCCTTGGTGCATTTACTTCAAGTTACCAAGTCTTGACTGTCCCACACTTGGGTTTTTATGTACTTGAGACTGCTATCCTTCTTGTCACATTTCTGCTTAACACTCGATTTCTTCAGAGAAACCCTTGATCCTAGCTCCCTGCCCCATGATTTCTCCTCTTCCTGAATGCAGGGTTTTTCTCATTTGCTAACCACATCCCATTACTGATGTTTACTCCTGGCTTCTAATGCCTCGGCCTTTGTCCTTTTTCCCCACAGTATCCCTGAAGTGGCGGTTGCATTTTGAATTTGTAACATCTCGAGAACCAGGTTTGGTGCTCCTACCTCCCATGGAACAGCCCGAGCCTGTCACTTGGACAGGGCCTGAGCAAGTGCCCGTAGACACCTTCAGCTGGGACCTGCCCATCAAGGTGCTGCCTACAAGCCCTACCCTGGCCTCATATGCGGCCCCAGGCCCCAGTACCAGCACCATAACCATCTGAAACTGGCCCACCATGGCTCTACTTTCTTCTGGATACTGAGAACTCAGCACCTGGACTCTAGTAGGGCCTACTTTTTCCATCTGGAGTCCAGCGGCACAGACAATGAGAGACAGGCTTTCAGCTGTAGCATTAATTTATTCAGAATAAACTGGCAGCTGCTAGTGGTTTCCCTGGAAGTGGCAGCAGCAGTGAGCAGTCAGCAGAAGAGTGATCAGTTGAGTTTAGCTGGAGTGGGGAGCAGGAGCCCCAGGAACAGGGGTGTTAGCTGAGCCCCACTCTAGGTTGGGCCTTCCCCCTTTGCAGGGCAGCCGAGGGTCAGATTTTTGCACCAGGGAGAATTGGCAGGTGCCGGCCTCCTGGTGTACCTCACACCCAGCCGGGAAGTCAATGGGATGCTGGGACCTGTGGAACCAAAGGATGGGGAAGGAGTCAGCACAGAGAAAGACCACCTTTTTCCCTGCCCCACATCCCCTCTCCCAGCATTCCTCCCATATCTTCCCTTAGTGCCCCCTTGGTCCCCTTAAGTAAGCTCTTGCCTACTATATATGAATTTTTTCATTTCATAGCAGAAATATTTTTCCTCCAGACCTACCCCTACCTCCCTCACTTTGTAGCCTGAAGCCGTATCTCTCACACTCTTTTTGGTACCTTCAGGTTTGGCCAGCCTCATACTGCTGTTCTGTTCATTCTCACATCAGAGCAATCTAGTCACTCCCTGGCCATCCCTCAGTCATTCAGGTCAGAGCCATTCTCTGGCTGTCCTTGGTCACTCACGTGTCACAGCAGCCCACACCGATGGGATGCAGACAGGTGCAGTGGAAGCAGTCCTTGCGGAGCCAAGACTCACCCAGGGTAAAATACTTCCCCTCATGGTGGCAGGGGGCTAGGGAGGAAGAGGAAATGTTAGTGTTTGGGGGAGTGGTGGGGCAGACACAAGCACTGTGGTCTGGAGCTGGGGAGAGTAAGTGCACACTAGCCCCGTATTCAGTCTCTCCTGCTTCCAAGGTAGAGGGTCTGGGTATTCTGATACAGGATCACCTCTGAGTCCCTCCCACCCCCCAACTCCATGTCTTCATCCTTTCCTAACACCTCACCGAGCTTTACCTTGAGCTTGGAAGTAGCACTTGCTGTGGACTCCTGGGTGCTGGAGGAGCAGAGATATCACCAAGCAGATGATCCCCCAGCCTCCCAGGATCCCCTTAGCCTGTCCGGTCCGGGGCATCCTTAGGGCCATTTCTGCAGCACAGCCCTCTCAGACCCTTCTTGGCTTCTGTTCAGGCTACTCAGGTCTTGTCTCCTTGGCTTTTCTTTGTTTCTCTTCTTGAGTCTTAGTTTCTGTCTTTCTCCCTTGGGCTCCTGTCTCATACCATCTCTATGCCCTCTGCTCTCACAGGCTTGAGGATGTTTATAAAGTGAGGACCCTGGCCCCCTGCTGAGGAGAGCTGGAAAAGCTGTAACTCTGTTTCCTGAGGTGAGGGCATGAAAACAAGAGGTCTAGCTTTAACAAGCTGTGAGAGCTGATTCATGCCCGGGTGCAGCTAGGGGGAGGGAGGTGGCCGTGGAAGGGGTGCTGGACTGGGCACTTCCTCAGCAAGGAGCTGTGTGGGGTGAGGGCCCCCAGCTGGTCCCCAGATCTCTTCCCTGACCTGGAGAGAAGGTTGCATTCCACCGTCTCCACCCCTTCCCCCAACACACACACACCGCGCACACACACACCCCCTTCTCTCTCTCCCTCTCCCTCTTTCTCTCTCTCTCTGTGTATGCTGGGATCCCTGCCTGGACCGGAGGGAGGCATTTCCTGGGGATGGCTAATCTTGTGTTCCAGCCAAACCGAGGAGCTGCAGTAGGGTGCGACGGCCAGAGGCTCCAGGAGAGCGAAGGGGCACCTGGAGTGGAGAATGTTTCTCTCAGATCCTAGGGCAGGGTCTTCCTGTTCTAGAGGCATGGCAGCCCCTCAGAGGTGAGCTGGGTGTCTCTTTTCCTCAGGCCTGCCAGAGGTGAACTGTCCATTGTTCAATACCCTTAACCATATAGCAGATACATGATCTCCCCATATCTGGGGATGGTGGTTTCAAAGAGGGGCATCTCCTCTAGATGCCCTAATGGTAGGAGTCACTCCAGTTTCACAGAGGTGCCCTCTTTCCTCCTGTACATTATGGAATGAGGTTTTAGGAATGTATCCTCTGATGTCCTCTTGAGTTTCCTGCAGGTTCTGGAGAACCCCAACATGGGTGATTAAGAGCGTGGGCTGTAGAGTCAGACTACTTAGAATCAGATCCTGACTCCACATACCAGCTATGTGACCTTGGGCAAGTGACTTCACCTCTCTAAGCCTGTTTCCTTATCTGTAAATTGGGATAGTAATACTACTCAGGGTTGTTAAGAGGATTAAGTGAGATCTGTCCCTGCCACATAGCCCTCAGAAAAACATTAACTACTGTGATTGGTGTTAGAGCTCAGAGACAAAATGGCTGGACATTCCTTTCTTTGAATGACATTGAGCAGCTCTGTGTACACAGATAGGGCTGCTGTCTCCTGGCATAGACTTCTGCCCCTTTCACAGTCATGCTCCCTGTCATACCTGCAGGAGCATTTTGGTTTTAGTCCTTGTCCCTTGAAATTCTAAATGTCTGGTTTGAGAAACTGTGTTGCTGATAGAACTACTTTCCCCAGGTCAGTACCCTCACTTCTTTCCTGGGAAGACGTATCATTTTCTCATCATCCTTCCAGCTAAATTTAGGACTCCTGTTTTTCTTGTTAGGATTCTGATCCATTCTTCCCATCCCCACTCATGTGAACTCTCAAGTTCTTTCTGACTACTCTCATAATGGCCATCTCTTTGGTACTAAGAGCCACTGGCCAAACTAGATTTCTTTTTTCTCCCCATACTTCAAAGACCCCTGTTCCAGCTAGCCCTCTCCTACTTAGAGAGCCAATCACTTTGGCCTTTATTCCATTTTTCCTTCTAAGTCTCTAGTCCCCGTCACTCCAAGACTCCCACTACCTGTCACCCAGTGGATCAGATACGTTATTTCTGGCTGACTTTTTTAGAGGGTTACCTTGCCTTCTCACCTCTTCACCATTCAGAAGCAACCTCATCAGTCCACCTCAAACTCTCCGTCCTCTTCCGAGAAGACAGCTTAAGTGCATGGAGGTGCAGACTGTACCACACATTCACCCTAGTCAGGTTTGATAGCTTTTTGGTTCCAGAGGAGTACCAAGAGAAAAAAGAAAACAGGGTTGAAACAGGGTTCCTGATGCAGGCTGGCACGTGGGAGGCAGGGCCGTGGGCTGCTCTCTTGGCTGGAGCAGGTGGATTAGAAAGCCTGTCTAGCACAAGGGGCCAAAAGCCTTGTCAGTGGTCAGTAGCTCTGCTGCTGTCTTTCTGGATGGGGGCCACCAGCTGATACCCTGGAAATCTGGACCATAGACTACCTTCTGCTCCTGCAACCTGTAGCCAACCCAATAGGGGGCGGACATGAGTGGGGAGCTCGAAGCTATGACAGTAGTGATGCTGGAAGGCAAAGGGGGCCCAGCATGGATTGGTGTGTGTAAGGTAATGGGGACTGGAGAAGTGCGAGTTAGCCGCCTGCAGTGAAGATGACGTAGGTATATAGGGGCAGGAGTAGGGGGCTTCTGGAAAGGATCCCTTTCCCAGAAGTTGGGGGGCGGCGGGGAGGTGTTGGTTGAGCCCACTGGCCTGGCTGCTGGTGTGCACGCTCCTGTGTGCATCTGTGTAGCTTGTGGCTGTGTACGCGCGTGTGTAAGGGTGTCGGTGGTTAGGGCCCAACTTCGGGTTGGCCGAGGCAGAGCCGGAGGGGCCGCCAGTGGCAGGGGGCGCGGCGGTTGGCGCACGCTGCCTGCGGGGGCAGGACAAACATCCGCCGGAGGCCCGGGCGGGCGGCGCGCCAGCCCCCGGGCAGGTGCGCACTCAGGAAGTGAGTCACTTCCGACGCCGGCAGCCGCTGTGCGGGAGCCTCGAGGGGCGGCTGGGCGGGGGTGCGCCCGAGAGGTTTGAGCGGGGAGCCACAGGGGGTCCAGGGCCTGCGCTTGTCCCGGCGCGAAGCACGCCCTGGACGCCGAAGGCAGGACTGCAGCCTGCACGAGGCCGGCGGGGCGCCCGGGGGGCCGCGAGTGCCCGGGAGAAGGCCCTGGCGACCTCGGCGAGGGGAGGGACGGGGCCTGTAGATGCGGGGCTTCCGCATCGGTTGGGCAGGTGGACAGGGCCGACCCCCAGGGACGAGGTCTGTTCAGAAGCCTGAGTGCCCGGCGAGTGAGGGGAGGTTTCGGGAGCAGCGGGGTTAGGGTTATCTGGGTACAGTTGTGGCCAGGTCATCAAAGGCTTGCAATGCCGGAATGAGGAATCCGCAGTTGGCCTCACAGGTAGACTCTGTGGTCTCGAAGCAGGAAGAGTCGGGAGTGCCTTAAAGGCAAGGTTATCTGTGTCCAGCATTACTGCCTGCCAAAGAATTAGGCATCGGTCCCCTAAGTTTTACAATCGTGTAAAATTGCATTACTACATTTAGCAAGTGACTTAATATCGTTGAATTTTTAAAAATAGAAAAGTTGAAAAATCTGATTGAATACTTGATTAAAAACCCCAAGTAAGATTATGAAGATTAGTTATATGGTGTTGAATCTTTGTCTTGCTTTTGTGCCATTTTTCCCTCGCTGATTTGACTGAATTTTGTGTTAATGCCTCAGTTATTCTTATATCAGTAGCTAGCACTTCTAGTTTTTCTCTTCCTCATCTTATGGTCTTTATTTTTAACCTTCACTCTTCTGTGCAGCCCTTTCACCTGTCTGTGTACCTGAACCAAGTGAAGCATTTCTTGGAGTGGCGGCATTGGGCTACGGTATACAAAGACAAGTAACTCAGTTTTACCATATATGTTAGGTTACTCATTATCTTCTGTGATCGTGTATGTAACTATAAAGTTTCTGTATTTACTCTGTGGCTGGTAAAAAGAGAAAGCTAAAGCTGTTATTCATGATAGTATTTCTATAACATAGCAATTTATTCATCTGATTTGTCTTTTAAAATCAGCTGTACAATGGTATTTGGTACTTGTCTCAGAAACTGACACTAATTCTGTCACGATCTTTATAATTTATGTTATCTTGGGCCACAGGCAATTGCAAGGATTAGGATCTTTATAATTATTTTAAAGATTCTTAAATCCTACAGTTGCCTTTGGCCCCAAACAAGAAAAACTGGGACAATTAATTTTAAAAAAAGAAAATAACTTCCTGCTTTGGGCCCTGTTGCTCTCCCCTGTGTTGGTTCAGCCCTAGCCCACCTTATTGCCTTCATTCTCTCTTTGCTCTGCTGGGCATCTTTAGAGGGAAACTTCACACCAATTTCCTCTCCTATAAATTCTCTCCCTCCCCTCAACTCCACACTTCTTTTTGCCAACATACACCACTACTTCTTCATTGATTTTTTTTTTTAAAGCCTACAGCCCTTTCTGGCTCTCTTCCATCTTTCACACTCTTATTGAAATCTTCTCTTTTTCCTCCTTTCTCTTCAGTAAGACCGCAGATTTTTAAAAGGTTAGGCCTCCTTTGTTCTGCATGATCCACTTCTGTCTTCCTCTTCTATCACCTTTTTCTTATTCTGCAGTGTTTGTAAACTTTTAGGCTTGCTTTCACTGAGGCTTCAATCTTCCCTTTGTGATTAAGCATTCTTCCTCTAGACACAGCAGAAGATGCTTGTTTCCATTATTTTTCCTACAAGAAAAAAAGTTTTCAAATTCACATCTATTTCAGTCTCTTCTTCCAACATTTTGCATCTAGAAGCATGGCATGACCATTACTGTAAGGTCCGATGAGCGAACACTTAAGCTTGGTGTTGTGGTAGGTACTGTATAATGAATTTCAAAATCCTAGTGCCATGTTCATAAATGCTTACCAAAAATAGATGTTATCACGTGTGTGTACATGAATGTTCTCATGTACACATACATACTAAAACGCACAGATAATAGAACCATAAGTCAATATATGAATATGAATATGTATTCAGTATATTACATTATAATCAAGCCAAAGACATTTTGGGGTAGAAGATGAAGATGGGTAAATGTATAGCTAGGATAGAAGGTTAAGAGACAGCATCCTTTGGCGTTCTGTATTCAGACAAGAATGATGAGAGGAGAGAGTCATTCCTGTGAAGATGAAGACTTCATGAAGGAGGCTGAGTTTCACAGTTGAGAGAGATGACTTGTAAGGCTGTGGTGAATAGCAGAAAGATGGGATGGAGGGGCCAGAGTCCCAGGAACATACAATGGTTATACCCAAACAGCCCAGTATTCTCTCTCTCAGAGAATATAAAAAATTCTCTGGTTGTAGTACTGATTTCAACTATAATCACTTTTTTTTTTTTTTAAGATTGGCACCTGAGCTAACAACTGTTGCCAATCTTTTTTTTTTTCCTGCTTTTTCTCCCCCAACCCCCCCCCCCGCCCAGTACATACTTGTATATTTTAGTTCAGGGTCCTTCCAGTTGTGGCATGTGGGATGCCGCCTGAACATGGCCTGATAAGCGGTGCCATGTCCGCACCCAGGATCTGAACCAGTGGAACCCTGGGCCACTGAAGCGGAGCACACGAACTTAACCACTCCGCCACGGAGCTGGCCCCTATAGTCAAGTTTTCATTAGTAACTCATATTGAAGTTTTCCTGTCTTGTCCCTGCACCATTGGAACCACTTACCAAATTTTTCTTTATTATTTTTTTCTGCTTACAGATTATGTTCATGCTAGCCTTCACCAACAATAGTTAACCCCCAGGTAACCACCATTAAGTTTTGACTAAATTCCCTATCTACTTATATGCTTTAATTTTTCCTGCCTGCTCCACAGTCTACTTGTGGTAGTAGTGACTTTTAAAATTCCATTTATGACTCTTACTTTTATCTCGTTTGTAAATTGCTCTTTTCTTAAAATTATAGACTCAAAACTAGATACTTAGAAGGCATCTAGTTCTTTATTATCTCTGAAAGGTGATCAAGTAGGTCTTTGCTTGCCTGTCTCTACTGAATGGAGTGGGTTACTCCTGCGGTGGAGGCTGCCCGTCTCCCGTTACCCAGCTTCAGTGGCTAGAGGGTTATTAAGCTGAAATCTGCCTTGCTTTTGCATTTAATTTTTCCCCTAGTTTTGCTCGTTGAAACAATATGGAAGAAATCTTATTTTTCAATGTGGCAGCTCTTTAAAGATTTGAAAAGGGTTTGTTTTTTGTTAGCTATTTGTCTAAGCTTTTTTCTTTCCTCCAACACTGTCCCAGAGAACTTTCTGTGATGATGAAAATGTTCTCTACCTGTCCTGTCTAATCAGTAGTCGCTGGCCACATGTGGCTAATCAGCACTTGAAATGTGGCTAGTGTGACTGAGGAATGGAATTTTGAGATTTTATTTAATTTTAGTTAATTTAAATTTAAATAGCCAAATGAGGTGAGCAACTCTTGTGTTAATGCAGCTCTAAACTCTAGGAGTTAGCACATTGTCACATGGTTGTCTTTTGGCTACTCCAGACGTCTGATGGTGGCCTTAGGCATGGTAAAACGTATAGCTGCGCTCTTGATCTCTATGGAGGCCAGACTTACATGTTGTCACAACTGAGGAAAAACACGAACCCAACCCCCAAAGCCATGATGAGTAATGTCAGTTTTTATTGAAGGTTTCTTAGAACGGGTAGAAGTTGGAGGTTATATCTCATCTCCTATATCTCAAAAGCAAAAATTAAAAAAAAAACAATGGTCATTCAATCTCTCTGTCATTAGGAGGAAGGGTCCCTAAAGTCCCTCTTCCTACAGTGGCTGCCACATCTCTCCCTTCTCCCTGCCCTTCTCTCGCAGCAACATCTTCCCTTCTCCTCTTGGAGCCTACTCTTCCGTTCTCTCTGAGCACTACCTCCATCTCTCTCCCCTGGAGAAGAGCTCTTCGTTGTGCATCTCTTTCTCCAACTTCCCTTCCCTTTCATTATCTCTGCTCAGTAAAACCAAGGAACTTTTTCTGGACCCAATCTTTCTGGGGCATGGTTAGGGTTAGAAGGTCATAAATAATTTTTTTTTTCCTTTCTCACATAATTCCTGACCTCCTCCTAGGACTCCTCTCATTTTCTTTTATCATTGCTGAAGAGTCTTTATTTAGCTTTTTTTGTTTGTTTGTTTGGTGAGGAAGGTTGGCCCTCAGCTAACATCTGTGCCAATCTTCCTCTACTTTGTATTTGGGATACTGCCACAGCGTGGCTTGGTAAGTGGTGTGTAGGTGGCTTGATGAGTAGTACGTAGGTCCGTACCCTGGATCCGAACCTGTCAACCCAGGGCCACCAAAGTGGAACACGTGAACTTAACCACTACGCCACCAGGCTGCTCCTGTGTAGCATTCTTTTGCAGAACAATCTCTAATGTCTTTTTTCATCCCAGATGTATGCTTGACAAATCCTAAAGCTACTGCTTCACAGTTCCTTCATCCATTTTTCTTTCATTTTTGTTTTTCACTTTTTTGCTCATCTGTTATTTTTAATAGGTTTAGCTTCTCTTTACCAGTCTTCTCCATATGGATAGGCCATACCCACAGAGGAAGTGGCATTCATTTGCTTCTGTTGTCACCCAGTGCTTTGTCCTCCCTTGTTTCCCTTTTGGCTCACCATTGTTACCCATACCTACCTCCCTTTTTTGTCTCTTGTTCTCTTCTCCTCCTTATTCATATCTTTAATAATATTCACTATTTTTTTTTAAATTCATTTTTGAGGTCTCAGATTTTTGCAGGAACCTCACGTAAGTCTCTGCCGTGCCCTAAATCTGTGTGTGGAGCGCTGATTTCTGTGGATTGGGGGTGATGGAGTTGCAGGGCAGAGTATCCTCTCAACCACGGCACTGACATCTTGGGCTGGATAGTCTTTTGTTGTGGGAGACCTTCCTGTGTACTGTAGGATGTTTGGCAGCATCCCTGGCCGCTACCCACTAGATGTTAGAGGTAACTTCTCAGTTGTGACAACCAAAAATGTCTTCAGACATTACCAGATGTACCCTGGAAGGCAAAATCCTGCCTCACCCCCCCACCCCTGTGTTGAGAACTACTGTGCCAGAATATCGGCTTTCTGAAAGTGATGGCTATACTTTTTCTCTCCAACTGCTGATGTGTTTGCTTTGCTTGGGTTTTCAAAAGTGTTGTCTTTCTCTTACTTGGTGGGAGGCAGCCTGTTAAAATTACAGGTTCCCGAGCTCATCCTAGACCTCCTGAATCAGAAATGTTGGAAGTAGAATCTGGAAGTGTGATATTTACAAGACCCTACCATACCCCACCCTGCGCCACCCTAATCAGGTAATTCTTGTGCCCTAGCCTTGACCCTCCAGTGACATAACTACTGCATTACCCACATTTTTTCCTGCAAGTCTTCCTGGGGCTCCAGCTTTGCTTCCGCTCTTGGCCCTATGATGCCAACACAAATAGGGAGGCCTCAGGTTACCAGGACAACCAGAACACAGGAAATCATAAAGGCTCAGCGCTCCCACAGGCATCACAGATTGTGGCTCTGCCAGCTTGCTTTCTCCTTAGGGACTCAGTCCTACTTCCCACTCCCCATCCCCACACTACCCAGACCGGCAGATACGCAGGCTGAAGCCACAGCCCTTGATTTACAGACCTGATAGTGGAATATGGCATGGGTGGGATGAGGAATGGTGAATGAAGCTTGCTTTCTAACACTGATAGTCCATGTCACCTTGGTGATAATTGAATTTTGTGCTGGTGAGACCCACATTCCTGTGAGAGCTGATTAGATTACAAGCTTTGGAGTCAGGATGCTTCCATTCATTTATGTGTATTGTTTATACTTGTTTCATTGGACCTTGAATCTTGGATTTTTCTGGATCCCTGGCTAGAGGTGTTCATAATTTGCTTTGGGTCAAAAGATTTAGCAGTCTACTTCTGATATATTGGGAGCAGCTAACGTGTAACAGGAAAAGAATAGATACCAGATAATGAACTTGGGTTCTGTTTACACTTCATTATAAAGCTAGTCATTTGTTTTAAGGGACGTCATCTGGTTTGAGTAAGTCTTTAAAGCCATGAATCAATGGGAATCTGCTTGCCTTTAGATGCTTAGAAAATGTAGAATTGATCCAAAACTGGAGCAGGCTACCTCCGTGGAACATTCCTGGCAGGCTGGAGCAAGAGAGCACGAAGGGTGATGAGGTCGGCTTGCTGGTCCTCTCCAAACAGCTGGAGGGCTGCTCTGTGGGGGGTTACATTTACTTGGTTTAGTTCCAGAAGGTGGAATCAGGACCTTTATTTATTTGTTTTATTATTTATTGATTTTTAAATTTTTTGCTGAGGAAGATTTGCCCTGAGTTAACGTCTGTTGTCAATCTTCCTCTTTTTTTGATGTGCGCTGCTGCCACAGCATCACCACTAACAAACGAGTGGTGTAGTTCCCCACCTGGGAACCAAACCCAGGCCACCAAAGTGGAGTGCACTGAACTTTAACCACTAGGCCATCAGGGCTTGCCCAGGACCTTTATTTTAGATGACAGTGATAGGAGACAGATTTTGCCTTAATAAGGAAGAATGTTTGAATAGTTAGAGGACTTCAAACTGGAATGAGCTGAATTGTTAGTGAATTATTTGTGACTGTATTGTTTATATAGATTACCATTTGCACATGGTTTGGATGAGATTTTGGATATTAAATTGAGTTTGACCTGTAAGAAGAAGTAGGCAAATTTATCGAAAGTCAGTTCACCCTTTCAATTATACGATTCTGTGGCAACTATTAAAGTCATCACTGTTTTTCTAGGCACCTCTGCCAAGTTTATCCCCTTGTTCATTGAATATTAGAATTGGTAGTAGAATCTTTAGAGATTTCTCAAAATTTGCTCCGTGGTCCTCTGGAGGCTCCTCAGAGGTGGTTGAGAGAGGTGAAATGAGGATAACTGGGGCTCTGAGCCCTTTATTTAGGCTTCAACCAGAACAGTCTTGCTTTTTTTTTTTTTCAGGAGAAATAAGTTCTGCTGAAAAAAAATTTTAAAGACCCTAATATTCAAAGTTCTTCATTTTATTAACAGGGCGACAGATATGAAGCCGAGAAGTGTCTTGCTGAAGGTCACACAGCTAAAAAATTTCAGAGTTGGAACAAACCTAGCTCCTCTAATTCCAATCATTTGCTTCTGCTATTCTACCAGTCTACCTTCTTATAATTCAGCACAAGTTTCTCTCCATTTCTCTGGCCACCACTGTAATCCAGAATTTTATTTCTTCAGATGTACCATTCCCTATGAGCCACTGCACTAACCTCCCTGCTATCCAATCTCTCCTTCTGATCTATATGATATGCACTGTTGCCTTGTTATTCTTCATGAAGCATTGTCTTCATTATGAAATTTCTCTGCTCAAGAACCTTCTCCATATTGCCTATAAGAACTTTTCAGCCTGACACATTGTTAACGTTCTTTAGGATCCTAATTGTTCCGCTAGCTGAACTTGATCCCAAATCTATCCTATTATGGGTAATTAATGGGCTATATAATAGTGAGATTAACTGAGTCCCATCATACCTCCAGACTCCAACTTTGGTGAGATTTTTGTATGTACAGTTTTAATCAGGGATGATGACAAGATACAAAAGAAATAGGAGATCACAGCTCATGAAAAGCAAGTTACATAACAATAGATACAATCTAATTTATATGGCACATACATGCATTTTTTAGAAGAAGAATGAGATATATAGAAATTGTCTGGAAGAAAACACACCAAACTGATAACAGACATTGATTCTGATGAGAGGGATTGAGAAAGGATGGGGGACAGGAAAGGAAGGGGGGACTTAAAGTCTTTATTTCTTCCCTGAGGAGAACCTCACAGGATAGAAGGGGAACCTAAGGAATGAGGCTTGAGCTGACAGAGAAGGAACTGCTCAGATGTCTTGCCGGGCTCCACTGCAGAGCATTTCAGTGCTTCTTGCATCTCTCTGCTAAAGAAGTCAGTCCCAGGAGATTATTTGACTGGTCACGCTTAAGTCAAGGACAATCTATGGCTGTATCAGGATAGAGAGATTAGATCTGAGGAAGGAGCCTTAGCGAAACTCCTTGGTTTCTGTCGAGGGGGGCAAACCCAGAGCGGGAGAGTTCTCTTAGGAAGGGGGCATGGACGCTGGGAACTAGAAGTGATGAGTGTCCATTGAGCTCGTTACCTCTCCCACACTTCTTATCTACACCTGGATCCTAGGCCTTTCTTTACTTTGGCTCAACCCAACCCCTCTGGTGGGGTTTTAACATTTACTAGGGATCAAGGCGCAGTGAATTAAGGGGATGGGGGAAAGGAGGAGTGTAAGGTAGGGCAGGTAGAGAGGGCGGTTATAATGCTTTCTCCCCTTTGTGTGTTACACAGAAAGCATTTACAGTGCCTGACAGTTTAAAAAGTGATCATAATAAACATTTGTAAGTTGAGATATGAATAAAAACTATCCATCTGGCCATTCTGGACAACGTGCTCCTCTGATGGTAGAGCCATTCTTCCTCTGTGCCATATAGAGTGTGGCCAGGGAAGCATTTCTGCCGTGTGTGTGTGTGTTCATTCCTGCCAGCACACATACCCTCTTTGGAAGGTCCAGACCCCAATCAGAGTATGTACAAGAAGTGTTTTGTTTTCCTACAGTGGGGATTCTTCACTTTTGAAGCATTAAACTTCAGATAAAAAAACACATTTCCTAACCTACTCCTTTTCCAATGGACAGAGAATACCTTCCTTGACTATATATCAGAAGGTCAATGGATCAAGGATAATCCTATACTACTGATGGACCAATTAACCTCTGTCATCGTTTGTCGGCCAGGCACTATTGATAATAAAAAAAGACTTTTAAATAACTCCTTATAACTTCATATAACTTATATACTTCATATACTTCATGTAACTTATATACTTCATATAACTTATAACTTCATATAAATGGAGTCATACAATATGTATCCTGTGTTTGGCTTCTTTAATTCAGCATTATGTTTTTGATGTCTATCTGATGCCAGCCCTGATACCAGTTCCCCTGCATTAAACCCAGCATATATGGGGTTATAGCAGAGCACTCAGCCCCTCTCCCTGCTTACTCCTCGGCTTCCTGGCGCCAGAGTCCACCATCCACCATGTAGGCAGACAACCAAGGACACCCACTTGTGGATTTCCTTATCTCACCATCCTGCCGGCAATCACCCTCACAGGGCCAAACAGGCTGGTGGGAAAGCACCAACCAGCAAGGCCACAGGCTCCCCGTCCACATGCAGCTGCATTGCTTGCTACCTTTAAAACCACTTGCCTCCCATCTTTCGGAGAGACAAGATGAATTTGAGGGCTGATCTTGTCTCCCAGCTCATGTCACCTGAAATAAAAATCTTCTCCTTCCCATAAGCCTGGCATTCTGGTTTTTATTTGGCCCCTTTTGTGTGGCAGGTAAAGAACCTGTGTTTGTGGCCATTAACCCATCCGTCTTTTATGTATATCAATAGTTCATCTCTTTATTGCTGAGTAGTATTCATTGTTGGATATACCACAATTAGTTTATCCGTTCATCTGTCGATGGACATTTAGATTCTTTTCCATGTTTTGGAAGCTGCTGTGAACGTTCACATACCAGTCTTTGTGGACATATGCTTGTATTTTTCTTGGATAAATTCCTAGGAGTGAAATCTTAGGTTCTGTGGTAAGTGAATGTTTAACTTGATTAAAAAAACAAACAAACTGCCAAACTGTTTTCCCAAGTGGCCGCACAATTTTACACTTACCAGCATTGTATGAGAATTCCAGTTGCTCTGCATCCCTGTCAGCACTTGGTATTGTCAGTTTTTTAAAAATCCTAGTAGGTGTACAGTAATATCTCATTGTGGTTTTACTTTGCATTTCCGCACTGGTCGTTGATACTGAGCATCTTTTCATGTGCTTATTTGCCATTGATATCACATATTTGGTGAAGTCTATTTAAATCTCTTGCCCATTTAAAAAATCGGAATGTTTGACTCATTATTTGCATTGTAAGAGTTCTCTTATATTCTTGTGTTGTAAGAGTTCTTTACACAAGTCCTTTGTGAGGATGTGAATTGAAAATATTTCTCCCCAGTCAATGGCATGCCTTTTAATTTTCTTTATGGTGTCTTTTGAAGAGCAGACGTTTTAAATTTCGGTGAAGTCTAATTTCTTTTTTTGTCATAACGGTTAGTGATTTTTGTGCCCTGCATAAGAAATCTTTGCTTACGCCAAGTCATAAAGATTTTCTCCTGTATTTTCTTCTGTATCTAGAAGTTTTATAGTTTTAACTGTTACCATTTAGGTATTTTTATGTTTATGATCCGTTTTGATCACTTCCTTAACTTTTTATTCACTGCACAACAGATGTAGTAGCAAAGGAAGAATCTGAAATAAAGGTGATTACCTCTCAAAAACAGA